GCCATGCGGAATTTCAGCAGCCAGCCCTTATTTCATTATTTTCCTTTCCTTGCTAGCCTTCTGATTAAATCCTTTCTTCTATTATTTTAGTATAGTTTTAGTATTTAATTTTCTTTCAATGTAATATATATCATAAAATAATCAATCAGCCCTCTGAAACATGGAGTTAAGATTTTCATCTCTTCCCTCATCCTGGGACCCCTGCGAACACCACCACATCAAAGCAACTGAACAGGTTGAAAATTGAGCTATATATATCTGCACTGAAAGGAAGAAATAAAAGAAATATCTGGATTAATAGCACTTTAAAAAGCATGAATTGGGAAGGGCAAAGGGAACCTGCCAAGGTCAGCTACCTACCTTTCAAAAGGTAATTTCAGGATAACCCAATTACACATCTGTTTCAGAAACCAAATGGATTTCAGACCATCAGGAGGTTTAAGGTCAAACATATTTAATTGACCCAGCAGTGCAGGAAGTGGTATGAGATAGGCTGTCCAAAGTCAGAACATGTCATTTCTATCCCAGATGTGGTCTCCAAACACTTCTACTGCCTACAGATGGAAAGAGCATTAGTAAAGTCCAGAGTTTTCACCTTAGGCAGTTCACAGGTTATCAAGCTGGAACACATTGAGCCTCTCAAATGCTGAAGAGTTTCATATGAAGGGATAAATGAGTGCAGGGGTAGAAGGTATTTAAGCAATGTGACATCCCTTTCTACTCTCTTATAACCATCATTAAAACACCCTTTTGGGGCTCAGACTTTTCCAATAAAAGAGCTAAAACCAAATGTAAAGTGCATACAGATACATTATGGCAATTTTTACTAAATAAGGAACACTGATTTTTCCATCATCCATGCCCTCTGAAGTGCTCAACACTCACTTTCCAAGCTTTATGTGGAGATGCAACAGTAAGAGATACAGAAATGCACTCTAAGTTATCTAGCAAAGATACTTGATGAAAAGTATTCCTAACTTTTTCCAGTTAGAGGAGACACCAAGAGAGCCTTCTGCCAACACACATGAAGGGTGAGGAAATGTAGCAAAACAAGCGTTTCAGCACATCTACTTCACAGTGCTGACAAAGCTTAAAAGCTTAGCAGCTTGAACTTAAGAGAGCGATGAATCCGTCCAAAACACCAGATTAAAAAAAATAGAAAAGAAAAAAATCAAGCATTACTGTCATAGTTTGGAAAAAAACCACACCTTAAATCAGAGAGAGACATCCCATCGCATCCTTTTCCAATTTCAAACCTTCCCTCTGGGCAGCAAACTGCTTGGAGATGTAGATGAAGGAGCCTAAATAGGCCAACACCCATCCCAAAGGAGGTGATGTGCCCAGAGGATGTGAGTTCTCAGCGCTGTTTCTGTGGCTTTGCCGAATTCAGTGCGAGGAACAACCCGTGCAGGCAGCTTATCTCGATTCTCAGGTCTGCTTCACATCAAGCACCTTGTTAGCCCAGGTTGCATCATCATTTTGGGCTGGGTGGTGGGGAATAAAGCAAGGAATATAGGCATTTATGTGGGAATTACTGGAAGGCTTACCTTGAAACTGAGGAGTGGGAGCCACACAGCACAAGGGATCCCTTTACATTCACCAGTGTGAGCTCTGGATCACAATAAGAAGCAGCAGGGCAGGTCAAGCCTTATCACACTCCTACAGCCAGGACCTCAGGTTACTACTGAAGTAGTGAAAGCCCCAAATTCAGGACCTGGCTCATTGAAGCAGTAAGATAGTGATGGGATCAGATTATTCAGGCTGATATCTTAAAGCCTGTTTTGGTTAATGACACTGCTGGGGCCATCAGAGTATATAGTGGGACCGGAGCCTGCTGAAAACTCTGTTGCCAAGATGCAAAACTAGTTTTACCAGACTCAAACACAGCTGCTCACAGAGGTTACAGCTTCATCTCCCAAAAGTCATGGTTCAGCTTCAGCTGAGTGCTTTGAGATGCTAAAATCAAACAGCAGCTGCAAGGACACTGAAGAGTAGCAGGAGGATGCAGTGTAGCCAGGTCACTAGGGCCAGCCCTCAAAGAAACAAGCAGAAGCCAGTGGTTGTAAAACCAGCACTTAAGCCCTTCACATTAGGAATAGCAGGGGTAGACCAGTAGATCTGAACCTTTGGAAAGGGCAGAGTTGAAGAGGTCTTTTCTTTTAAACCACCCCAGGGAAAAAGCACCCAGTGCCTCTTGATGTGGATGATAAAACTTCAGCTCATGCCAAGCCTAGTTAGGACTACTTAAGATAAAGAAATAAGCATAAAATGGTAACGCAATGGCAACAGCAGCTTCTTGCCATTCTCTGTGCTGGTGCTACCCTGTGTGACCTTCTTGAGTAGGAACAGCATCAGCCCTACTTCAGTTATGAAACAAACTCTTGGGCTTTTGTAACAAAGGTATATTTCGTGCAAGGGAGGATTCCCTCAACTCTAACCCATACAGCAATCTGAGGCTGGTTCTCTAAGTTAAGGAGATAGAAACCCAAAGCCTGGAAATCTGCCATGTTCCCACAAATTCATTAAGGTGCACTAGTACTAATGCTGCTTTTGCAGGAATACATTCTCTTGTGAAGAACAACTATATTCTGGGGAACTCTATCACATTCTGTCACAGCAGAGGGCAATATTAATAAGCATGGATTATCTGCTGCTTACTTTCCAGAGACCTCTGATGTTATTTTGTCTAATCCTAGCATTGTTCACTGTATTCTAAATTCTCCTTGGAGCCAAAAGTCACTAGTGGCAAAAAAATTTCTCCTGCTTCACTTCCCATTTTCTGTTCAGTTCTCTGAATTTCTTGCCCCCTGCAGTCTCCCGTTTGCCCACACATCTGGACAATAGATCCCCCTCTGCTTTCAGCTCTGCAATCCAGAACTGAGTGGCAATGGTGTCAAGCCAGCAGCTCCCACACTTATGCGCGCACTATACCTACCACATCCTGCACAAGGTAGACAGAACTCCAGAGTACCTTCCCAGACACTCAGAGTGCATCAATTTGAAGGAAAGAGTGAGACTGTTATTCTAGGCAAACAACTTTTTACTTTGAATCAATTGTTAAGTGCTTTTACGCTTGATAAAGGTGTTATCAGAACAAAGTAAGGCAATATATCCATCAATTTGATGGCTATATCATTATCTTTAGTTCATTTTTAAAAATTCTTTGATATATAAAGGACCCAACCTTGCAATTTTCAGAAAAACTTGTTATCAACACAGGGGTCACAACTGCACCACTTAGCACTATATATTCTTTTTAGGCCAAAAAATGGCTTAACATAATGCTTTTTCCTCCTCTTTTTTCTTCTCATTTAAGGAAGATTCTCCTTCACAGAACCATCTTCTCTGTGCTGCACACAAAGTGCTCAAATGCCATGAGCAATAATGAGTTCAGGGGTTTGCTAGTCAGAAGGAACAATGAACACGTTTTCTTCTTCCTTCTTTGGTGAGAGTTCATACTGCAGGGAAGAAAAAAAAGAAAAAGGTAAGACAAAACATCACAAAAATTTATACAAACGTTGAAACTGTTCAAGATAAGAAATTGCAAAGATCCTGGAAGCACATTTAGATTCAGCTCTTAATTCTTAAGCATCTATCCTGGAACAAGTGCTGGAGGATGAGCAGCTCCCATGACACAAGTGCTCTTTTCTCAGCCCTGTTGCTCTTTCGGTGTCCTTATTCAGGAACACCTGTGTCCCTCAGCAACTGAACACTCATAATGGAAAATTTTCACTTTGGAAAGGCCCAGGATTCCAACTTTAACTGCTGAAATATACAAGCTCTTGATTTTCATAATCTTTTCTAAAATCCCAGGCTCAGTTGTTCCTTCAACACAAGGAGCTTTCTCAGCCCTGTGAAGTGCAGGCATGTGGCATCCCACACATGGCAGTAATCCATCAATCTTACTGCAGAAAAGCTAAACTCCCAAAGCCATCAGATCAGCACACAGATCTGGAACAACAGCAGTAGCAAAAATACACGTCCATGTGATGGGGTGAATCAGATGGAAACTAATCATTGTACCAAAGTTTGCAGAGTATTTGTCTTAATTTACAAACTAAAACAAAGGCATAAAATAGTGATTAGACTCTGGAGAGCTTAAGAACTTCAACAGAATATTTAACCAGGACGTGAGTTAAATTAAAAAAATGGTTTTAAAAAAATCAGACTTGAATACATCAAGGCTAGAAGTTACCAGACCTAAAGAGCAGATAAGAGAACACATGCAAGGTGCTGTTAGACTGCAGAGCCCTTAGCCACAGGTTGTCATGGATGTATAACTCCAAGGGCAAATGCATTGAGGGTCACAAACTACACAGAAACTGCCCCAGAGTGTGAGTCCAGGAGAAACATCACTTCCTGATGTCCCTTGTCTTTATCTTCTCCCCCAGGAAAGTACTATGTGACCTCTTCCCCTTATCAAACATTTCTTTCCCAATGGTTTCCATGCATCAGGATCAGAGGCCACATAAACAACAAGCCCCACAAATTAGCCAACCAAAGGCTTCCCCTCCCAGGATTTCAGCTTCATTTTGTCACTTTTGACACCAATCAGCCAGGCCAGAGCTCAGTCCCCCATCCATAGGGAGCTGCTTTTGCATCACACATACCGTTGTATTCTGCACAGTGTCGGTAAAATTCTTTGTTGTTTCACCCAGGGCTGAGTCAACTGATTCAATTCTGAAAGAAAAATGATCTTAGCTGGTTTTTCATGAAGCACTTACTGGTGGAGTTCGAACAGATATATTTACCACCAAAAATAAACCTGAGAATGGTAGGTTTTTGCTCAGCATTTATGCCAACAGTGTCTTTTATACAGAAAATGTTCACCTCCTCTGACCCCTAGACAGAGTCATGTTGAGAGTGTGCATTGCACATTATCCCAGATCCTGGTACAGCTCTCCTAAGCAAGGTTCGTCTCCCACTCAACTTCCCATACAGTGTTCCCTCATTACACTCTAATCCCAATTGAAAACCCTCACAAGGCTGCAAAAGCTCCATCAGTGGACACCAAGTGTAGTGGTGTTCACCAAGTGAAGATGCCATACTAGGTTTAGAATCCTTTCCCATCTATCAGCAAGGGTACCACCAGTGCCCTCTATGACCATCAGAGGACTTGTGAGCATGCAGGACAGCCGGCAGAGATGTACCTTTCCTTCTGCTGGTTGTAGAACGTATTCAGTTTGAGCAGCTGCGCGTTCCAGAAATCCTAAAAAGACCGCAAAGAAACCCCCTGTTACCTGGGAAGAGGCACCTCTTTGGGCTGGCACACAAGAAGCTGTACACACCAGTGCTTCCTTCTCCATAGCTGCCAGAATTTGAGTATCCTTCTCAAGGCTGGCAAGCTCTTCAACAACAATCTTCCGGAAGGTGTCAAATTTATTCAGCCTAGTGATGGAAAGCAGAAACAATTTTGCCACTTTAACGTGCAGTCACACAAGGTGGACAACAACCCCTTCAACACCAGAGCTACCTTGAGGCAGAGGAAAATTTCACTGCTGAGCTACATGGGGCAGATTTGTTCTCAGATATGTCACAGAGCATGTGAATAGCTGCACCAAAGGCACACTGCAGATAAATACGGCTCAATAGCCTGTCCCCAAACAGCAGCCAGGCACAGAGGACTGGGGCAGAGCACACACATGAATTCCCAGTGCAATACTTGCACTGCATGCTCTCCCAGCCTCCAGGGAGTTCAGCAGAGATTTCCTGTGCTGAAGACCTCTTTAAGGTCCCTTTAAACCCAAGCCATTCTATGATTCTATAGAGGCTCTATGGAGACTCTTCTTGCCTTAGGTTTGATATGTACAGGATGCCAGCAATTTCTAAACCTTAAGAAAGGTTGTGGTCGCAACATCCTTATTGACTTGGGTTTGCCACCATTCCCAGCTGCATTGAGGTAGGAAAACTTTGGCACAGCCTTGCATCCACTATCCTGTGATCCTGGTTAGATCCAAGTTACTTGGCAACCAAGCACTGAAGTATCTCACTGCCATTTACTCTTATCTTCCACCACAAAACATCCCTTTTTTTTTTTTTTTTGGAACTCCAACTTCTCCATGTACCTTAATGACAGCAAATTCTGCTCATAGAGGTCCCATTGATACCAGGGATTTTTGACTTTAAAGGTTATTATTATTTCATACTACATTTGATCTAAATCCTAAAAAGTGAATGTGCAATAGATACAGAGGCCTGACACACTTACAAGTACAGTATAGGATGTAAGTATCTCACTTATAGCAAATTCATAAATATTATAATTGATTTTTTTATCTAGCTCCAATCTAAGAAATACAGGATCTCAGAAATTCCTTTTCTTCTCCTCCACTTCATTAAGCAAGTCACAGCCTGGCTTCTTTCTTAAAAGATTTAGAAATAGAAGTTACTAAGTTGATGACAAACAGAAAACAGTTCACAGACCACTCCAACTGTTTGTAACTCAAGCTTGTTTTGCATGAATTAACCCATCCTCTCCTCCTACAGGCAAATTAGAATTAATCCCAGGAGTTATACATCTGATACTCTTCTTGTGTAAAAGAAAGAAGAGAGACACACAAGTTATTTTGCCATACAAGCCATAAGCACAATATCCAGCTCTCAGTTTGGCTTTCCCTATCAACCAAAATTGACACAAAATTGAAGCTCTTTTCAGCCAGCACCAGACCACTTACCTGCACATATGTATCTGGTTCAGCAGGGCAGACAAGTTCTTCTCTGAAGATCTCAGGGCATCCTTTGTGTTGATCTCAATCCTTTTGTACCGGGACTAGCCACAGGATGCACAGTTAGGGATAGGCAATGGCCCTAGTCAAAACCTAGAAGTCTAGCTTGCAAAACCTTTCCGTGGAAAACATGTTCCTCTGCAGGAACTTGCCATTCATCTTTGCAGAAACCGTCTTAAATCAAATTTAATCTGCAGTAAGATGAAACACATCAGTGCTGCAGATATCCTCTGATTTAATTCACTCACAGTAGTTACACCAAGAAGCCTCAATGTAACCTATGTGGCTTCAGGACAGTGTTGTGCTAGGAAAAAATCTAATTTACATTTTCTTTATGTCTTCCCTGTAACACTACTCAGAATATACAAGTTCTGTAGAATACTTCTAAGAGCTCCAGACTAACAGACACTGCCACCAAAGCCCTACTCCTGAACACAAACTAAAGATGGGATATTTGCACCAACTCTCCCTGAGATAAAAAGGTAATTTCACATAATATGATCAATTGCCACACATGTTGAAAGAGCTCACATTACCCAGAACAATTTCTTCAGTTGACCAACAAAGCTTTCAAAGGCAAAAATCACTCCTGAATCACTCAAGTCTTTGTGGAGCATCTTGGAAAAAACCACATCATCTTGGCTATCATCCATTTTCTGACCTGGGAGGAAGCACATGCCCAGTTACCATTATGCTGGAAGAATTGCTGGAATATAAATCTTCCTGCTACTGAAGAGATTGTCATTCATGTGTGCAACAGCTTCTGTTAGGAAGCTGGAATTTGGGGGAATTCTAGAGCTCACAAGCAGGAGGGAAACTGGCTCAAAAATCAATCCCCAGGCAAATACTTGTTAGAGAGCAGCAGGGAAGGATAGGCACAATAGAGCAACACAAAGAGCTATCTACAGAGACTGAGGTAAATAAACATATAAAGGCAGAATAAAGGCAGAAAATAGGCCACCACTTCTTCTGTCTTCTACTTATGCATTGCAGGGAAAGCCTGATCCTTTTGTGCTCAGAGTTAGCAGTATTTTGCAGTTACTTCATCCATTACCTGCATGCTTTTTTCCCAGCTCCTGTGTTTGATGGTTTTTTAAAACTCTGGAAAATCATACTCAGAGTAGAAAGTGTGGATGTCATGGAGCAGCTGACCAAGTGAACCCCAAATTTCCTCATTCACACCTCTACATACACAGTATCCACTGCCACTGGCAGTGCTGCAATATCTTCTGATAGTTTTCGCTTTGGGATTTTGGAGAAGGTGACCTCTCCACAAATGCATGGCTTCAAGCTTCTGTGTGACTACGATTTCTACCCAAAAAGGAAAAAAAAAAAAAAAAAAAAAAAAAAAACAAAAAAAAAAAAAACCAGCTGAAAGCGTTTAAGCACTTCACCTTAATTACCAATTAAGGATTTTACCTTTCTGGATCTCCACTTCATCTTCTACTGAATCAGAAATTTTCTTTGGTGTATGGTTAATCTCAGAGGGCAAGTGATTTTTCTCCAAACTAGAAAATTTAGGCTTTTTTATGATAGTTCCACTCAGTATATCTAGAAAAAGAATAAAAGAGGCTTCAGAAGAAATCTGTCCTTTTGCATGAGGTACATGACAGTGCCTGCTCAAGGAGAAACCACCACTGGAATTACCAATGCTTCAGAAAAGGAGGCAGCCTCACTTTATGGTCTGGCATCACACAAGACAGGATAAGACTTCACCTGCAAGCATCTTCCCTAGCAAAAGCAGGGAACTAGCCTGCCTGGTGTTACACAGGTATTTGGAAAGTTTCCATGTCTCCAACCTAAAGATTAAGAAATTTTCTTTCTTGGCCTAGTGATATTCTAATCATCAAAACCCTCTGATGTCCAGCTTCTTCCCAATCCCCTTTCCAACCCAAGTTCTCAACTGCTTATGAAGAAAATTTTTGAAAATAAAATTGAATCAATCCAAACAATCCAAATCAAAGCTGCAGGGGATTTACAGCCTCTACTTTAGGGAAAAATTGCTAAAACCCAAAAAAACAAACTATACCCCCATCCTTTTGTCTCACTTTTTCTGAACTCAGTAAATTGTCTGACAAATCATCTCCCTGGAGTCTCCATAGGGCAGAATGGAAGCTGGTGGGGCCCAGAACAAGGGAGTCAGACCAAGAGAAGCACCATGGAGTAGATTTAAGGTTCACAGAGAGAGTCCAAATGCAATCAGAAACCACACCCGAAATTTCTGAGCATAACCCTGCTTGTGCCTTTGCATGGAAACAACTCCTCTCCAACTGTAAGGCTGTACAACAAATAGTGACAAAATGAAGTCCTTAGCATCTATCTTTTCCCTCAAATTAAACAGATGTGCTATTTCAGTGAGGGCATATTCAGAAAATGCTGGACAGGTAAAAGATACATTGGGAACACAAACAGAGCCAGCTCATGAGAAAAGGGACGCTTTTGTCCAAGACTGAAACTTCAGTGACTCACTCCATAGTCACATCAGTAACTCAGACTCCTAGAACTACATCAGCACTGAGAATTGTTAGGATGGAAACAACCCCATTGCTGCTTGACTTGAAGTTCAGTTGTTTCCAACCACAAAGAGACTGTGCTGTACTTTTGAGTTAGTTTATGAAAGTTCAGTTTCATTTTTAAAAAAAAGATCCTGATATGCCACTAACCTATTAAAAAAGCTACAGCAGTAATAAGCATTATTCAAGTCTCCATTTAACAAATGCTTATAGCAATGGTTTACATCCATGTTCTTAGATATAAAAAACTCAAAACTCAGCAACTTGAAGAGATGCTTGTTTTGTTTAAACTGAAGTTGCAGTTCACTTCTGAAACATTACAAATTATCTTGTGTGTCTCTTGGGTCATTAGCTCTACACTACTAGTCCCCCCTATAATCAAAGACAGGTTTTAAGAGTTTGCAATGAATTCAGGAATGTATGTAAAAGCATCTTACCACAGTCTGTGATGACATTCAAAACAGAGAAACAGAATTTAGCAAAAAAAAAAAAAGCAATCTCAAAAAAGTCAGGGTTATTTTATCTTCGAAAGAAAATAACAGCTTTGGCACCACCTCTTTCTGCTTTTACCCAACTCTTCCCCCCTGTTATCAACAGCAACAAACCTGAGTCCTTCCGCTTGTTACTTTCTTCCTCTCTTGATAATTTCGCAGGTGTACTATGAAACTTCTAAGGAGAGAAAGGAAACAAAATAAGAAGGTGCCCACCCTGCAGACAAGCTGCCAGGGTCTAGTCTTGTTATGGGAAGCAAACCAAGCAATCACTGGTTTCAGGCAGAGGTAGCCTGAGAGCACGCTGGGAGGAAGCAGAGCACTGCATTCTGCACCTGTGTGGCTTTTTCCACATCACTGGAAGGGCTCCGGGCAGACACACCAAGTAGCAGTGGACTCCCTCCAAGATCATCTGAGAGTGTTTCATCTGTGTGAGACAGTAATAAATGACACAGGCAACAAAGTTTGAATCCTGTATTGGCTGGAAATCACAACTTAATGACAGAAAATAAAACCCAAGCCCTCCATCCTCTCATTTATCTAGTCACACAGGGAAGAGGTGGTGGCTCAGACTCAGTCCAAAGGCTATTTTCTTCGTAGTTGTCAGTTCATTCCTTCATCTCTCAATGGCATCAGCTTATCTTCTTGTACAAGAGACTGTATACACAGACAGTATCTACCCCTCATAGCCATCACAAAGAAATATCAGAAGGCAAATATTTATGGGAAGAATGTGAAGGAAAAGTGGCAAAATCAAAAAGAAAAACCCACCACCAAAAGAACTCATCCAAAAAAGTACAGACCCACACATATCAAAACCCTTCTAATGCACTGAAGAATATTAAAATAAAAATACCAGCAAGATTCACTGTGGGTAAATCATCTTCCTTGGAGCTCAATGAGTTTTTCTTTAGCATCTCCTTTTGAGCTCTTTGCCTTGATTCTCCCTCCTAAAACAAAACAAAGTCTAAGCCTTATTTAAACATTACTACAGAAGTTGAGGTTGGGGTGCTGTTTTGGAGGAAGAGTTTTGGATGAATGGTTTGTTTTCTAAATACACTAAGAGTGGATACATACATTAAATATGCCTAACATACTGATGGCTCTATCCAGCATCAAAGGAGACCTGTGCCCTGAAGTTAAATGCATGCAAGAATTCTCCCTTTAGGCATTGGAGATGTATATTTGATGATGTTTTTGATAAGCAGAATAGAAGCATTGTAGTCAAGAAAGAAAGTTTTCCAGGGGAAAATAAGAGCTTTTAGTGTGACTACTAGTTCTGCTTTTAGTGTGACTACTAGTTCTGCTTTTAGTGTGACTACTAGTTCTGGGGATTTTTTCCCAGACTGCCTATATTTCAAATATGTGTATACAAATATACATACACACACACATATATATATATTTGATATGCAGCATTTAACAGTTGTTTCTATGAGGTTTACCGTGTTTTCCTAAGACCTCCTTCATTACACCAGTAGAGTCTCAACAGCACTTAGCAGACAAATCTCTCCATCAGAACATTTGAAAATTAAAATAGCACCAGTTTATTTAATTCTCACTCACTGGTACACATTTTACATCCTTAAAGTTTTTAAATCTGAGGCACTAAAACATGACACCTTCTTACCTTCTTTGACTCGTAGTCACTGCCACTGCTTGCAGAAGACACTGGAAGCACTGCAAGAAGAAAAGCTTCCCTGGTTACTGGCAATGTAAAGGGTGTACTTTATGCAGTTAACTGAGTTAGCCACAATGCAAACCTTTTCAGTTTTGGTTTTCTAGCCCTTTACAAGATAAAACTTCACAACACTTACATTAAATTTCAATAAAACACCTTTCTCTAACAAAGACAGATGCAACGATGCAAACATATACAACTCCCTGCATCCAGAGCAGTCAAAAAAGTAAAAAAAAAAAAAAAAAAAAAAGGCTCAGCATCTTGTCTGACAGTCCCCAAGTCCCAGGCAAGACTTGTAGGTTGACAGCAGTGACAACAACTGCCCTGGAAACCCAGTATAAAGAACAATTTGAAGCTCAACTTTCTTTTGCTTTTTAATCCCTGGAGAATCCAAAAGCTATCTGAGCAAGCATCATTTCTCCAGGAGTGGGAGAGAAACATTCCATCTCATTCAGGACAATTTGGTTTCCATTTGGGGGTCACAGCGGCACACAGCCCTGGAGCACGGCTGCAGGGGAGGTCTGCTGCTGGTCAGGCCCAAGCCGAGAATACTATCAGAGAGAATCACATCTGACACTTAAAGGATGATTGGCTAATTACTGCATAAACAGGGGAGCAGAATGCCCTGGTCTGCAAATTGTGAGGATTTTCAAGGTTTACTTGCCAAGTCAGTGATATTTCTGGGGAGGTGAGGAAGGGAAAGCTGCAGGGAGGAGGCATGGTAGCTTCAGAGAGATCCTCCTCCTAGTGCAGTCAAGAGCACCAACACAGCCACCAGCTGAGGGGCCATGGGCTCTTCAGCACCATCACAGAGAGTGCTGAACCCACACAGTTTGTTTAGGTGCCAAATGTCCACCTGGACATTTGAACCCCAATTTGGGAAGGAGAGAGGAGCCCAGTTCAAGCACAAAAGTTTACAATGCCTCACCTCCATAGGGTACCCCATGCTGCTGGTCTCAAGGCTGCTCTCTCCCACTCAGGAAAGCCAGGATTTGGCCAAAGTCTCCTTTTCAAACCATCACCAGCATTTACTTTTCTGCAGCACAGTACATCATGCATAGCTAAGTGTCAGAAGGGCACTAAGCTTACCTTTTAATTTACTTCTCACCCTGGGTCTTTTTCGGGTATAGTCAACAGATTTTGGCACTGGCTGTATCTGAGAGTCAAGGATCCAGCTTTTCTCACTCTTATCAGGGCTTGTATTTTCATTGTTACTTTCAGAGAAAAGGTGTTTCCTGTAGCTGGACTAAAGACACAATTAAGTCCTTCTCACTCAGAAGCACCTCAGCCATCCCATTTCAGCTGCTACTAAGTTATCCCATTTCTTCCTCCCCACAACACAACGTGGAAAACTGTGAAATCTGCCAAAACAGCCACAGCCGGCTGTTGAAACAGCTGCATAAAAACACCAAGAGGCAGATGCTTGACTTTTGCCAGCATGGGGTTTTTACAGTACCCTCCTTCCTCATCTCTCCCTCTCTCCTGTGCCTAAAAGAAGAGCACTCTTGCCAGGAGAAAAGGCTCAGTGTGTCTGAGCTGCATCCAGTGGCACATCAGGGGGGAACAGGTAACACAGACAATTCACTAGCTGGTCTGGCAGTGATGGTGCATCCTGATCACTGCTTTCAAAATGACAGACAGAGTATTTAAAGGCTGTCAGAATCACATTTCTCCAACTATGCACTGGGTAGGCCTTAAACTTCAGCTTCTTTGTGGGTGGAACAGATTCGTACAGGTAGAAATACACAGCATTCAAATAGGCAACAATCAAAGGCTCTGGGGATGCAAAAGCATAGACAACCTACCCGCCTTCTCTCAAGAGTGCTTGATTCCTTGCTCTTGCTTCTGGTTTCATAGGTCCTGCCAAGTAACACAAAGACCCAGATTAGAGTAGCAAGCACAGCAATAACACACCACAGCACTGTGGAATGGGCACAGGCAAACAGAGGGGGCAGGAGGCCCCTCAAGAGCTCAGCAGAAGAACCAAACTGTTAAAGAGCATACAGTAGCCACATTTTTTCTTTGCCTGGATTTTGAAAGTAGCAATTTAAGGATATCTAGAAATCAGCATATTTTAAAACAAAAGTTAATCTGCATACATAGAGGTGGCGAGTTCCTGGAAGCTTGCTATGACTGGAAGGCAGCTGAAGCAAGGCAGGGAGTTTAAGCATTTTTCAAAAATTAAATCAGTCATTTTTGCACATGGTCAGAAAAGGATGATGTTTAAGAGTTAAAATCATATTATTGTCAAAGTTGACAGCAGTCTTTAGTCTCTCCAGTAACCTTTATATTCTCAGGTACTAATTAAAATATAGGTATCAATAACATCCACAGATAGTGTGGTAGCTAAGGAAGGAACTACTGTATTGGAAAAAAAAAAAAATCACACAGCCTTTTGGATCCTAACTTAAAAGATCTTAACCAAAGCTATGAACCCTTATTCACATAGCAAAAGGTTCATAAACACTGAATGTATAATACTGTACCTCTGACTTTGTGAAGAAGTTTTCTGGGCAAGAATCTTTCCTTTGGCTTCAGCAACCTGAAAGCAGAAGTTGTCTTAGTGCCCAGTTGCCCCATAAAATACTCTATATATTGAAAACAGATCAGAATTCAGAAAGAAAATGGATTACCTTCCTGCTCAGAAATGTCACTTTTTAATGGAATAGGATTTGTTGAATGAAACAATGTCTTAAATTTTAATAGACAAACAGCTGAGCCTTTGACAGAGTTCCTTTCTCTTTTCCTTGGTTTATGAATAATGCTCATTTGAAGCACCAACATCACAAGATATGCCATTTAAATCAATAGCAGCGCTGGCAGCAGCACTGTAAGCATGGTGCAGGGCCCCTGGACAGCCCTGGGACCAGGGCTGGGTTCCATGGAGCAGGGATTTATGCTGACACCCAGTGGCAGTAGCTAGGATCGGGCCATGTCCAGTTTATAATAGAGAAATTTGGGGTGCTCCATTCAGTACCCATTGCCTCAGAGTTAGCATCATCAGTGACAGCTCCCACATCAGGGAAGAGGCTGAAAGCCAAAAGGTTTGTCCAGCACAGCCACCTTGATGGAATCTGTCAGGAGCCAGTTCACAGCTTCCTGGGAAAGCCCACACTGGGTAAAGTTTCAAAGCAGCCAAAGTGATTCATTCTTATTCCCCCCTCCCTTTTTTTTTTTTTTTTTTGAGAGCCTGCAAATGTAAGTCAAGCAGAATTCTCAACAAAAGTTTTGCGAGGACTGAGTTTTAACCAGGGGTTCCCAGCTCGCAAAGCACAGCTTTAAGGGGATTTCAGTCTCTTCCATTTAGCCTAGGAGGACGAAGTGAATGCTTAGCAATCTACTTTTGGTATTCAGTAAAGCAGAGGTTGGCCTTCAATCACAGAGACATCCCACGGCCTCCATGAAGCAGCAGCTCAAACGCCTGTTGGTGTTATCTTGCATTATCCACCACAAACCTCACATAGTGATGAGCATTCTTGTCACTCAAAAAAAATCCATTTCCACCACACAAAGAAAACAAAAATCTCAGATTCCCAGTTGTGTGTCTTGCTATAACAGCATGTTCATCCTTACAGCATTTCTGCAGTAAAGGATGTCCCCTGCTTCAAGTTACTAAACCATCAGGTGCTGAGTTTCTGTCTCAAGTTTACCTTTTCACGACTTGAGGAGTCTGAGTTTTCAAAGTCATAGACTTCCTTCCTGCAAGACAACATAAATACGGCAGTGATGTACAATAGTGAAGAATCACCCCATAGAATTCCATTAAGAGCAGAGAAGTGATAATGTGGTTTCTTTCTGAGCCCGTCTCCTCAGATACCTTCTATACCTAAAAATACTGTTTTCTAAGCTTCTAAAAAATACTTGCTCCTTTTCTACTTAGTGTTTTTGCTGTCTGTCTTGATTCTCACTTTTTCAAATAGTAACTGTTCTAAGAAATATTCAGAACTTAGAAATTAACCTATCCCTGTTTATGTAGAGGATATTTTGTTCACACATCCCCCATAGTACTACATGGTAGGAAGAAGTAATGAGTGGAAATATAACATCAGAAGCATTTTAAAAAATCCTTCTCATTATCTTTTGAAAATTCTAGTATTTAATATTTGTTCTCTGATCTCTTCTCTGTGTACACCTAGATCTTGTTTTCACACCCTCCAACATTTAAACTTAACTGTAGTTTTATAGCTCTCTCCAAATCGGAACTATTTTTAAAAAATACTATAACAATTGCTAAATATACAGTACATCTTCTTTTTACTAGTAAAAGAATGGGAGGACTAAAGAGCTGAGATCCTTGCCAAAGCTTCCCGAACGAAGGAAACACTCATTTCAAGATGAAACACTAGAGGGAGCAGAATGACCGAGCTAAGTTCCTCACCCCTAACTTCTACACTGCTGCTCCTGTTTTAAAACCGGTATTTGCTTCATCAAATTGTCTTAAAATACACAAAACAAAAAACTTACAAAGCCCTGCATCAAGTTTTCCTATTCTGACCTACAGTCAGTCAAAAATCATCTAAGCACTTGGGGTTTTGGGAGGTTTTTTGAGCGGAGAGACTGCGGGCTGAAGGAGGACTCCCATGGAAGCCCCAGAACAGGAGCAGAGATCCTCACACACAGCTCATTTGCCCTCCTGCTCAGCAGCAGGCATTAACTTGAACACAACACTTGGCAGAGTGTAGGAGGAGGGTTCAACAAGGCAGACTTTTAGTGCTACAGGTTGCATAGAGCCCCCAAAACCTCAAGTGCTTCTTCCTGCAGTGCCCTCAGCCTCAAATGCAAACAGACAGACATGAGGGGGCAAGGGAAAGGGACAACTTGAAAGAGGAGCCATCCTGAAACCCTAGGAAACATGATATCAAGGAACTGGCACAACATTACTTAAATATTTGTGAAAGAAGGTAGTGTTCAGAACTCAGCTCACTGGAGGATTATGGTTGGGCAAGTAAAAAGCCAACATGCCATGACATAGTATCACAGGAGTAGAGGGCATTTTTAGCAGGCTAGGGTTAGTTTTTGAGATCTTTATCACTTTGGGGACCCAAAGGGTCCTACAGAGACAAGTTTTGACCCTTCATAGCCTCATTTTGTTTTTCTACCTGCTCTAGGCACAGTCAGGCCACCCCCCATGGGGACACTCTTGCTCCCTGAGTGCTAGAAAAGGTCTAAAATGATTTGGTACACCAGTCCCTGCATGGGCACAGGGCTTGTGTGTCATACCTGCCTTCAGCCCTCTTCTTGGCCAAACTTGATCTCCTGTTTCTCTTTTTGCTGGTAACGTCCCTTGGAAAAGGAGAGAGTTGCAGGATCTGAAACAACAGTACCCAAAGTCATGTTCTGGTTCTAGAGCCTGCCAAAAGCAGAGAAAAGGTGTGCTAGGAAACTTCCCTCCTTCCTCTACAAAGATTTTCTAGGTGCAACTGTTGCCTGTGGTACTTTCCTGCCACAGAGTATGAGATTCACAGAGCTGAAACTGGGGGGGTCAGGAGGGTGAGGGGAGAGAAAGTTGCTCAAAATCTTTGGATTCACTGTAGAGTGGGCAAGTGCTGCAAAACCGAACTGACAGTAAAAAATATTTTTTAAAAAAAATTTGGAACTAGCACCTGGAAACGTAAACCCAAGAACAAGTCTAAAATGTGATTTCTTATATAAGTACCCAAACTCAAAAATACTGCTTTGAGAATTTAATTTTTCTCACATAGTGCACTTACTTACTTGTTTTAATACATGGACATACCAACAGAACTTTCCAAGTGCAACTACAAATGACTCTCAGTTACTTGGAAATTTACCCAAGCTGCAAGCTCCTGCATAGGAGAGTCATTAGAGCCCAGATACAAAACTGAATAAACACATCCGTAGATTTCCAAGGCTTGTCTCCATTTAGGAAGCAAAAATTCCCTCTTGAGGAGGGTGTGCAAGACTTAAGACATGCAAGAATGTCCCACGCACCCCTGCACTCCTGGACACAGGCACTGCACATCGCTTTGGGGCTGTGGATGCGCTGAATAAACTCCAGTGAGCTTGAATCACTTGGCTGGGCCCCTCTAGGATGAGGTTGGCAGCTGTGCCTCTGCAGCTCACTCCTGGTGCCAAATGGCACAGCACATCAGGTGTGGCACTCTGGGGGCTCAGGACACTGCCCAAAGGCATGGCTGGGTCAACCCATCCCAGCTTTCTTCTCTCAGGGGGACCCCCAAGGCACACATACCTTTGGTATCTGCTCATCCATGGGTTCTTCTTCTAGGGGCTTCTCACTGGGAACAAGAGAACATGTAAAGGAGCTGCTCATCTAAAGACCAAAATGTTTGTGAAGTACTAGGTGGGGGGGAAAAAAACCCCAAACTTGGACCAATTAGCACCAAAGCAACAGTTTAATGTATAGGGAAGAAAGGTAATCAATAGCTCTACAGAAGTCCAGCTCCTTAACTACAAGAAATTCTGTCCTGCAAAGGTCTGGGATAAAAATGTGAATTCAAGCCAAGATGAATTCAAATTCACATCATTTTTTCACTAAGTCATGGTGCCCATTAGGAACAATCCACACTGGGCAAGCTCAGGTTTCACAGCTGAGGTTTAACAGTCTGTAAATCAGCTGCGGGCTCACCTTGCATTTGGACTAAGTCCACGATGAGAAAAAAGTCACACCAAAGCAGCAATCTAGTAAACAAACTGTTCAGCAACTCCAAAGCATTGTAACTCCAGGCAAACAGCCTTGATGTCCAGGTGGCAAAACAGAATCTTCAATGTAATCATGGATGGAATAACCTCAAAGTTACGTGCATTAAAACCACAGGGGGAAAAAAACCCAAACACACACACAAAAAAGAGCCATAAAAAACTCACTTTGGAACTTTCTGTCAGCGAAACACTCACCTAGGCTTAGCTTTCATCCCTGAAGATGGAGTTTTGGAGTTTTTTTCTGAAGAAAGCAAGAAAACTATAGTTTTACCCTCTGAATCTACTATGAAACTTTATTTTTTTGCTGTAAGACCCACAAAATCATAGCCTTCAGCATGTCACCTGGGTGACATTTAATTGGGTCAGACTTAAGGTACTGAAGGGAGCCATGCCTGACCTTGGTTAGCATCTTCCAGGTCAGTCTGCTGGCTCACTGTAACCATGGCAACACCAGAATTGACCATTTTCTGCTTGGAGACATGAAACCATGAACAAAACATGCATATGATCAATAAAGAAGTGGGGGTTTCAGTGGTAGCATGTGGCAAGAGCTGCATGGCAGGCCTGCCATTGCCCACACATAAAAACCTTTTAAGCTGCATATAGGTGATATTATGGTTTTCTCACTAAAAGCATCCTCTGTCCTCTTACAAGAGGAAGCAATTTTTTTTCTTTTTTTTTTTTAAAAAAATGCCAAAATTGCAGCTCTGGAGATAAGTATTTGAGTTGAATAGACACAAACCAGTTTTCTTTAAAAGAAGGTTTGAGTCACACCTGTAAAAAAAGCAGACTGGAAGAAGGGAAAAGGGGAACAAGGACTGTTCCATCATACACCACACACTTACTGCTACAGTCCCTGTTAGCTGCTGTCTGTGCTGAGAGGCTGAGTTGTCTTTTTGAGTCTCCACATTTTCAGAGTTTGAAGGATCTTTGCTCTTCTGTGTGTTAGAGGGCACAGGGGTTTCTGCAGAAAAGCAACCAGGGGGAGAATGCCATTGCAGCAATTGAACACACTCACTGCCCTTTCTTTCCATTCCCACACATGCATGCATAAATTGCAGCAGTACAACCTTCTAGCCACATCTTAAACTCACATTTAACAGAACAAACCCAAGTGTCTTCATAGTACCCAGTGAAGAATTGCAAGGCTAAATAAAAAACAGGCTCATCAATACTGGATGAATGTATGCAAGTTTATCATCTTGCTCTTTATATTGCTACATTGGCTCCTAAGCTCTGGAGGACATGGAACAAGCCTTTGTGTCTGACTAAAGTAGGGGGATCTTCCACCATCTATGCTTTCCTCCACTGAATCTCTATTAGGTACTGCAAAATTTGTTTCACTGCAGACTAACTACCTTCCACCCTTTATCCTCCTTGACTGCTTCAAGTAGCAGCACCCACCTTGCACTTCTCTGTGCTCCATGGTGGGCACTGATAAAAGAACTCCTAGCTCATCTGCATCTCCACAAGCTGGAGGACTTCCATTCTAGCTTTTTATAGGCTGTAACTGGAGGAAAATGGGAAGGACTACTGAAGAAGTTACTGCCCCAGACATTTAGAGGTGGAAGTGGCTCTTTCAAGTATGGAGAAATCTGAAATGCACAGGAACTTAGAAGAAATTAAAAAATTAAAATTTCTTTTTAATATTCTAACAGAAAGAATGTGACAGCTATCCTAAGAGCTCTTCAAATTTCACTTGTTTACAAGACAGTGGGTGATAGCAGTAGGAAGAGCTGTGATTTCACACCCTTAGAAGACATGGAAATATCTGTCAAGTTACACTAAGAAAGGATCTGCACAAAATGTAATCACTCTAAAACCTGAAATACAACCAGTTTTGGAGCAAGAGCAAATCCCAGCCTTCAAAGTTAAAAGATCACCATACAGAAAAAAAAAACAAAAAAACCACACCTTCCAAAAAATTTGATACCAAAGTTGAGCTAAGGAAGCTTTTCCCTGTTTAACACCAATTTTGACCATACACACCTCCTGCTTTTTTGCTATAAGCAGCTTTTCCTTAAGGCTGTGACCTACAGTTTGTGGGGATTTACAGAAGAATTTCGTGAGAAGGAAAGAAAGGAGTTACTCTCTCTTTTTCTTGGGAAGTGCTGCGCTTAGACCTTCCTTTGGGTCAGACAGAAATCTGTACTTCAGGCTCCAAGTTACCTCAACAACTCCTGGATTTAGAACATAATAAAACTCTGTCAAATTGTCCTGGAAGAGGGTGCCTTGCAGAAGATTCTCACTAGCAGCAGCACAGGAACACCACCATTTGATGATGGAAAGCTTAATGTGCCCAGTTCAAGGAAACACAAAGCATTGGCTGTAGGGTGGTGAGAATATGGAAATAAATGCTATTCCAGGTGCAGCTAAGGGCCTGTTCTGCCTTAAGGCAGCTACTTTTGTAGCTGGGGCACACACAGGTACAGCCCTGCAGCACAAGGTATTTACAGCAGCAGGTCACCTCCTGCAGAGGAGCTGGGCTGTTGCTCACCTCTACCCACAAATAGAGATTGCAGCACTTCTGCTCCCCCAGCTGTTCTTCCAGGACAGCTCCAGGCCCTCCAAGGCATCATCCACTGCACTTGGGGACAGGGGACTGGAGCACATCATACACTGAACATCACCTTGTTCAGAAAAACCAGAAGTTGCCTCCCTGCAGGAAACTTCAGTGGAGGCTGCCCCCCCATGTGCACTGTACAGAGGAGAGCTTGTTGAGTGCCAAGGTGCAAGCACTGGCCCATCAGAGAACCTGTGCTTTCAGGAGGCCAGAGGCCACCCCATGGCATGGCCAAACCAGAAACCAGGCATCAGGCAGGCCACAGGGGAGGACAGGAGGGTGCATCCCACCACACCTGCAGATGGAGAATCATTTCTGCACACCCTGCACATCAGGGGTCAGCCAGCAGCTGAAATGTGCCTTGGCAGACCACCTGCCAGCACACAGATCCTGCCTCCATCAGCATTCCCTGCTCGTGCAACCCCAGCAGTGCATGGCCATGGTGCCCACCCCTCGCTCCCTGGGCTAGGGGGACTCAGCAGCTGCCACAAGCAGAGCTACCAAGCTAACAAGGCAGGATCATAACAAGACTGAGCTTGGGCGTGGCTTTTGTTGTAGGGTTGATTTTGGTTTTTTTTCTTTTTCCTTATTTTAAGTGAAGGTAACTGTAAGCTGTGGAGAACAAGTGAAAATGATAATATGAAAACAGATATTTAGATTTAAAGAAAAAACACCAAAAAAAAAAAAAAAATCACCTGCTTCATTCTGCATGGCTTCCTTCCCAGAATGGACAATCTCGTCTTCAGACTCAAATATCTGTTGGTATGAAATAATCTCATGTGAAAGTGGTCTTACAAAGGGTAGTCTTGATCTAGTAAAGTCAGCTACTTAACACAAAACTAACAGTTGCTAATTGCCAGCAACAAATCAGTGGATACTGATTGAGTTGATCATGTGGAAAGATCGTAGCTCCTTTAAGGGCAAATGACAGCCACTATATTATGCTTATTTACTGTCATGTAAGCTTTTCTGCAAACATCACAGACTGTGAATGAATTACAAATCAAAAATTAACTATATTAACACTTGGGGGAAAAAAGAAAAAAATCACACCAATTTATGTTTTGACATTAGCTAATGAAAAACCTTGAGGTTTAAAAGTAGTATTCTTTGTCTTGAACTCCTGTCTACAAAGTCAGTTGTATTTTTCAACACAATTCCAGGTTTTTGTGTAACAATTTGCTCATCCTGTGCAATGTAACACTTAAATATAAAAGCATGTCCATACTTAAGTTATGTAATTAAATGCCATAGGCTTTGTTTTCTACTTCAGAAATTCAGGAAAAGTTATAACACAAGGAATTAATTAAAAAATAACTTTAACCTGCCAGCTTTTAAACCATAAGTTTGAATATCTTGAAACTTCTTTCCTAAAACATCTAATTTCTCTATGTAGAGTATCATAATTGCACAGTGGGAAGGCAAATATATAGTAAAGAGACACAGAGCAAATAAAGAAACCACAAAACACAAATCCCACAATCCTGAATGGTTTTGTCCAGTGTAAAATATAGTTAAGAAAAAAAAAACATTAGAACTTACCATCAGTTTTTCATCTCCCAGGACTTTTCTAAGTACAGCTAATATTTCAAGCTCATCACTGAAAACCAGTTTGAATTTTATTGCTTCTGTTTTGTTAATAGCGGTGGGTATCTTCATAAAAATTCTAACAATCTTTTTTCTATCCTTCTCTGCATTAAAAAAAACCAAAACAAACAATCAATTACATTTATTTTAGATCAAGACATTTTTCTGTTAATCCCAAGATGTCTGAGTAATTGTTTGGGATTTTAAAAACAGCCTTTTACATCTTGCCTGTGTATTTCCAGTTACTCTGTTTGCTCATTTCTTTCCCTTTGAGTCTTGGTTATGCTGTTCCCCAGGACACCAACAAATGACACCTCAAGGTGTCCTGTTTGGGTAGGGAAGGGGGTTATTGTGCAGAATGGGCCCACACTCTGTCCAACAAGCAGAGCTAGTGCAGGATGACCAAAGGACAAGACAGAGAGGGAGGAGAACAGGCAGGAACACCTTGGTGGTGGTGGGATTTCAGGTGTCCTCCATGTGTCTCATGGACCCCCAGCCAAACAGGATAATGTTGGGAAAAATCTTACCCTTCACACTATAAGTGTTAATATTTTCTTTTGACAGCCTCACGGAGTCCCAAAGAGCTCCCTTTGAAAAGCAAAGGCATCGTGTCAGAAGGGCTGAGGGAGTGCCCACTGGCTAGGCTAGCCCAAGGCCCCCTGGGCTTTGCTGTTACCTCATCACAATCCACATAGAAAGTCACACTCTGGCTGCCAACGTTGAAGTCAATCCAAAACTCCTCCAGTTTCTCATCCGATGGCTTCTTCGCCTGGGGAGGAAAAGCAGCACTGCTGTTGCCCTAAAAGCCCCACAGCTGCTGTATCAGTCACGTTTTCTTTAGTGAGAGCAAACTGGAAGGCATTACCCTACATAAACATCCATACAGCTTGCAGAAACAAGAGTTCAGATCACGCTGTAAGGTGCCAGCCCACTGCTCACCCAACCACACCCCTGTCAGATGTGCCTCTGCGTCAGCCAGGAGAGCAGAAATGCACAAATGCTCCCATGATTGCACCAGGAAAGAAGCTGTGGAAGCTCTGTTTCTGAGCACTTGAAATAAGCACAAACTGTGGAATCAGCTTCCATCTACATGGGTTTGATTCAATATGACTGTCAGGAATAGTGCCACAGTTTATTCAACAGCAAACCAGTGAAGTAAACTGCAGGATCTGCAACTCTTCTCCAGAGGCATCAGGCTGATCTTGTTTTCTGGCAGTCTGGAAACAGCTCTGCCAGAGGACTCAGTGTTGTCCTGCCCTCCTGTTCCCTTTTAGAACTCTCTTCTGTCATCACCATGAAGAGAAGCATTGCCTCTATCACTTGGCTGATACAACAGCAAAGTCAGCAGCATTAAGTTGGGAGCTAAGTGACAAACAAGCAAAATTTCCAGCTAGAGCAGAAGGTTACACCCTACGCTCCAAGAATTGAGCTCTTCAATGAAAAAGAGGCAGGGAAAACAAACCGTCAGAAATTTACCACAGAAGGCAATATTTCAGCAGCCATAAAACACTGTAAGGAAGGTGCCAGAGCTTTAAGAGCTATTACCTCATTCATGTCAGCAAAAGCAGATATGCAAGGAAATGAGTAGACCCTGGAAGAGAAGCAGACCTCATATGATGTATTCAACATTAGAGTCTGACTTCAAATTACTTTATTTTTAATAAGATTAGTAACCAATCTCATTGTTCAAAGAATCATTTCAAATTTTCTAGAGGTAAATTAAGCTTGGATAAGCTAAAGAATATAGTATTTTAGTAGTGGTGTGTTATCTTAATTGATTTTGCTTTCAAAAGAATCACCATAAAAATCCATAAAAGTTCCTTCTTAAAAAAAGGCTTAATTTTACATGTGATGTAAAATAATTTTGTATGTTTAAGCCAACCCCTTTCATAATTCCATTTATTCCCTCTGCAGTGATGATGGCACCAATTTATTCTGTTTGTTCCCAGCTTACCTTCTTTTATCTCCAAGCCTTTCGTTTAGGAGATTAAGAAATTTTCTGCAGTCCTTCAAGACAAATGACACATTTTTTTTTAAATCAGGCTATTTCTCCTTTGCAAAGTTATTCTATTGTGTAGAATAATATTTGCTGTGTAACCCTTACTGCCCAGTTAAAAGCTTTAAGCTGTGGAACACCAAAGACCACTGGGAAAAAACTCTCAATTTACTGCAAAAGGTTAGATTCAACTTAAGACCAGTAAGAACTCAAATATAAACCCTGTAAATTAACTTATTTATGCATTATTTATATTTTTTATTTTACTTTTTATAGGTAAAATAACTTAAAAGTAGGAGATATTTTAACAATGTCTCATTTAATATTTACCATATTAATAAGAAAAAAAAAAGGTAAAACATGCCATTCACAAATAACTTTGTGCATTTATAAAATCAGTTTTGTAGGAACTTCGTGCAAGGACACCCTGACTTAACTCAACCAAAACTAGCCCCTATACACACTTGTCAAGTATGTTGTTTTCAAAATAAGGACCCTCACCGTCTCAAATTCTCGATCCTTGATCTCTTTGAAAGCTTCAGCAAGATACTTATCTTCAAACCAGTGGTGAACAAGGTCATCCCTCCATTTTTTAATCATTAACCTACAAAGTGCTTCTGACAGGGCAACCTGAAGGTCATAATCTGCCGGGTAATCATAAGCACAGGATAAATATCATCCCTCTGGCACATCAGAGGGTTTACAGCATTGCTACTCCTGCCATTTTACACTGCACAGTCACATCCATCCTCCAGCCTCAGTTCCCCCTAGGAGAACAGGGGAGGCTAACAGCCAGGTGTTGGCTCAGGCATCCTCAGCTCTCCCAGCTCAGTGAGACAGAGATATGGAGCACTGCAAACCGCAACACATGAGTGGGAGATGTGCTTGGGAAGGAGATGAGAGCAGAGACTCATCACTAACCCACCAGAATTAGGCTACATTCCATATACCATGGTAATACTCTAGAAAGTGTTATTACTAGGAGTAAACAAAAAAAGGCTTCACTCAAGAGGCCATTAACCTTGTTAGCTAAATTTTGTCTGTATCATGACAAAGCAAATTTAATTTTTTTAAGACTAACAGCCAGCATATTCTGTAAACACACATAAAGCTGATCTAATTACTTTTCTACATAAATCAGTTTAGCCTGCCTGATTAGTCAATATGCATTATTAATATCAACCAGAAAGAGCTAATGCATTGCTGTATTTAACTTTTTTTAATTTATGTTTTGTTAAATCACATTTTACTTGCTTCCCTAAAAATCAACTCTTGACAAAAACCTAAATTATAATTCATCTATAATAAACAAGCAGATGAGGTAAAGCTGGAGAACTTACCACCAACCTCCAGTATAGTTTTTGCAAGGTCTTTCCTGAAACAGCATAATGCCACAAGTTAAAATGGAAATAACTAACTCCTAATGCAGAGAAGGGGGTATTGGGGTACAGAAACCGGAGGGGAAAATCTCTTACGTGAGTGAGCACATCTCCTCAGAGAGAGGGAACTTCTTTCTCTCCTCCCGTGGGAGATTGTCAAGTATAGAGTTGAGGGTCCTCAAGGCCTTTCACCCCCCACAAGAGAAGGGGTAGAAAATGAAGGGAAATAAATCAATAATATAATTTCACATATTTTCATCCAATTACACAAACTTTTGCACAAATATATGCAATTTTCTCCTCCTAGTAAGAATCTTACCTCCAGGTGCAGAGCGCAGCAAAGATTTGCTTCTGTCACTAGGCGCCCTAGTTCAGGCAAAAATAAATTCACTAGTTCTTTTTTCCCTAGAAAAATAATTTGAAAGGTGAAGCTAGAAATGGGTGGTGTCCATATAAAAATAGTTGAAGCAACAACAGTTTGTTATGTTGAAGGAATAAAAACATCTCAGCTGTAAATTCATTTTAAGACAAAGCTTCCAACCATCTAATCCTAGATAGACAGAGGAACTGGTAACTTCTATCTAAAAAAAAATTGCTCCAGATACACTAACTTCTGACCTGAGTAACTATTTAAAGAGGCACAGAAAGGGGATGCTAATTACTAGCCACCAGAGAAAACCTGAATACACAGGTTTTGTCAAAGTCAACAGAGCAAGCCAATAAAGTACTAACCAGAAAATGCTTGTGCCACTCTGCTCCTACTAGAATAGGGTACAATGACAAATAAGCACACATTACCTCACCTACAGTGCAATGCTTCATTTTTACATGGATTGTGAGGCTGGATGTCTGGTCACAGATATTTTCTGAAAGCACCTGCTCCCCTCTCCACCCCTCATAAAACCAGCCACAGCAGAAAATTTTGCAGCTGAAATTAATGAGACAGACAGACATCCCTCTATTGAGTTCAGAAGGCTGAAGGAGTTACCACATTATTCTGTGAAGATGGTTGCCTTCAGCAAGGGAATGATATCTGAAGCCAGAACAAAGATATGTGCAAGAACAGACTGTCTAGACTGAACCCCTTTCAGAAGCCACTTACTCTGATCAAGTGAAATGCTCGATGCTGACCATTTAAAGAAGATAACAGAAACGGATTTTTTCAGCATGTGCATAGCAAGAAAACAAAGAGAAACAGACAAAAGTTTTGGGCTCCAATATAAACGTTAATGAAAATAAACAGAAGAGAAATCAGCTAGAGAATTTTTAAAAAATACATTGCAGAGAGGAAGAAGTAGGAAGCTGAAGAGAAAAGAGAAAGGTGATAGAGTTCAAGCAGAAATAAGAAATACACTCCTGAGATCAAGATTCACAATATTCAGGAACGGAAGGAAAAAAAATACTGACCTTCATTACTGCATTTGCCAATCACCTGATGGAAAGAGTAAAAGAAGCCTTCATTGGCACAGCACCACCCAAGAACAGCAGTACATAAAGTGTCAAGCTGTTAATGCATGCCTTCCTTATCCCCCAACTTTCAGATGCTAAATAACATAAACCAGTACATACCCACATCAGAATAATCTAAAACACCAGTGCACCCACATCAGAAAAGGCCACCTGATCCAGGTATGTCACATATGGTCACCCTGATCACACAAGATGCAGGGAGGGTAAAGGTAGCCAAGCACCCACTTCCCCCAGGGACTTCAGCAGCACTTGAGAGTGCAGTGCCTACAGGTTCCCTGGAAAACCCACATCATTGTGACATCCTTCTCTTATTTTTATGTGGGCCAATGTGAAAGCATATTTTATGATTATACACTACAGTACTAGATACCACAATGTGTATCTGAAGGGTGTTAAAGTCCCTTGAGGAAAATTAAAAATAATGCCGTAACACAAAACACTTCATCCTCCACAGTGAAAGTATGTGGAAGAAACGTAGCAGGAAGACATAATTCAAAATAAATTCCATTTTTGGGAAAATAAATGGGTATTTTATAATTTCAGAGTGGTTAGTACAGAAAGAAGGAAGCTTGATTTTGCACAAATATCTTTTAGCAGAGCTCCTGAATAGAGCCATAGGTATTGATATGAATTCTGATACACGAAGTGACACAGTTCCAGTACGCTACAGACAACAAGACTGAGAGAAAACAGCTTGGGGGAAAAAATTTAAAAGCATTCTTCCTATTACAAGTGCTACATCACTAGGCCTCTAACACCCTTAAAGTCATGGATATTTAAAGTTGAAACCTAAATGAGAGTTGTAAGCTAGTTAAATCATTCTTTAGAATTAAATAACTTATTTCAAACAGAGTAGGAACAAATCGCCAGGACCACCTTGGCAAACATGTTTGCACGTTAAGTGCAGCTCAGTGTCAGTAACTTGTGAGTTTTAAAGAGAGCTTTGGCTCACAAGCCTTTATTTACAAAATGCATCAGTATTTCTTGCAAATTTTTCTACAAAAACAAATGCTTCAAGTTAGAAAATGAGAAAGCACTTCTCCCAAGTGTGTCAAATCTCAGCCAGACCCCAGCCTGGAGCACACTCCTAGACACTGCCCACCCACTCCCATCTAGGCTGCTTCCCAGGCTCAGCCCGAGGGCACCAAGTCCATGCAATTATTTCTTTTCTAACAGGGAATTGTTTGTGAACAATAGCTATCTTATCCAATAAAGACAACCCTTCTGTCCCCTTAAAAGAACAAACATACCAATGCAGAATCAAAGAAGTCTTCGAGCAGTAACATCAAAAATTTATTCTCATTTGGGTCGATGATGGTCACAAACACTCTTGCTCTTTCAAACCAAGATACCAGGTAAAAGTTAAAAAAATAAAGAGAGTTAAAAGCTGAGAAGAGGAATTAATCATTCTAAATTATATATGGCTGCAGGAAACCTTACAGAGTTTGTTACTCTTTAAACTTCAGAGTCATGTACTGTGTCAAAAGCTACATGGCTTTAAGGAGTTCAAATTTCGCTAGGAGGACATGAAAAGTGCCATTTCCCCCCTCCCTCCCTAGCCCTCCTTTTATCCTCCTTTTTTGTCCAAGGCACCCACTTGTGATGCTCAGACACAACGCATGCTGCTAGTGGCACCAAAACTACTGTAGACATTTCTAGAGGACATCAACTCACAGCAAAATACTGTAAAATTTTTTCAAGCTTTTTCAATGTAAATATTTTTTTATACTTTATGGTTTTAAACATTGCATAACATCACACACAAATGGTGAATTAGAAATCTATGTTCCACTGAAAGTACAGAGATCAGACTGGAAAAAAATTATTAATTTATCTCCATACAGGAATTGTGAGCAACTGTGTCCCTGACAAACATAACTGCAAGGCAGGAATACAACATTTTGGACTGAGGCTCCTCAGTTAGCTCTTTGCTAACAGAGAGCATGTGTTAGCTATTTCCTAGCACCTGTGTTAGATCCAGGTGTTACTCATCTTCAGCACAATTGCCTTTCTGCTACTACAACTATTACCAGCTGAAATCAATATAGTGCCAGAAGATAAAACACAATTGCAGACTAAATGCATCAAGTTTGCTACATAACTAGAGAGGGACCTTCATAAACAATCTCACTTTTTAAAAGCATAAAAACACAAAGTACTCATCAATTCTATTACTAAAATTTTATTTTAGTAAAATGTATTTTGCTGGAGCATTTAAAATGCATTTAGAAAGTCTAGATCATTTCACTAATGGGACTTATAGAATTTAATGCTTTCCTTCTACTATCACTTTAAAAAAACCCAAAACAACCCAACCCTTTAAATCAGGTAATACATGGAGCCATGAAATTGGCTGCTATACCAAAAGAAATAAAACAGTAAATATTTTTCCCCACTCAGTTCATTATGTATATTTTTAAATATACTAAAAATATTTTAAAATCTATTAAAAAATATTTTGTTTCTGTGCAGCCAACAAGCCATCCTCTAGTTTTCACTTCCTTGGAGTTCTTTTACTGATGCAAACAACCTTAAATCACATTAGTAAATTGCATGCAGTATGTACTCATCTTTGCTACCAGTCCTTGCTCAATAAACAAGCTCTTCCCTTCTTGAAGATCACTTTTAAGGTAGAGCTGAATACATTTCAGCAGCAATGAAACATTCTTGAATTCATTCTTGTCCAGCTCCTACAGAAACACAGAATGCCATGCATCATTAGCCTGCTACCCTGTGAGTTGGCTGTTAAAAGAGTTGAGATTATTTATGGTACTCGCCTTTCTCAGTGCTTTGTCCAGCTGGTTAAAGAGAGAGTCACTGTATTTCTGGGGAAGCTCTACTTCCTTCTCTTGAAGCAGTTCGTCTATTTTTTGAAAGCCCTTCCCTTTAAAGGCATCAATGAGCAATGACTCGAGCTGTAGAGGGAAGGGAAGAAAACAATTAGTGAGTAAAATAAGCAGGCATTGAAACAGGAGCAACACTAATTATGACTTGTAACGCTATTTTAAAAGTTGCAAGTTTCTGTTTATTTGTTTTATATTGTTTGTTTCTCTACTTTCATTTTACTACTACATCCAAAGTGAAACATCAGTCTTAATGTCCAAAAGAGACAGAACCCATGAAACAGAATAATCATCAGAGATACCGAGTAAGGAAAGAGGCAATTTAGTATAGCCAGTTTGTAAGCCCCCAACTATTACAATAATTTCTTCCCACTTACTAAAGAAAAGATTAAGAGGACTACTGCACTTCCCACTTTAAATAAAATTACAAAAAGTTCTGGGTTATGCTATATCCATTTAAGAAATGCACCTTTAAATATATATATATAAAAAATAACAATTTGTAAGATAAAGATAAGGACGTATTTAAAAGATCCTTACGTAGTCTCCTGCTCTGTCTGCCATTTTGCCACTCACATCTCTATTTCGTTCTTCACTTCTTTCTTCCTATAAAAATAAAAGGAAGAGAAAAATACAGAAAAAAATCCCCTTTCCTTGTCCCCCCCAAAAAAGAAAACCCAACCAACCAAAACAAACCCAAACGACTTTTTCCGCCCCAAAGCTGAAGAGCACTTCCTCATCCCCTCGCTTCCAAAACGCTGGTTTTCCTTCATTATTACCTAAGCTGCAAAACGCCCCCACATCTCTCAACCCGGGGTTTCTGCCGGCCGCGGGCAGTCCCGGGGGTGTCCCCTCGGGGTGTCCCCTCTCCGCTCACCTGGGCCATGGCGCGGGGGCTGCCTCACTCGCTCCCCACGGCCGGGACCCGCTGCTGCCGCTGGGCACAGCAGCGCCCAGGGTGGAGAGTGACCCTCGCCAGCCTTTCCCACAGCTCCGAGCCCTCTCCTTCCCTCAGCAAGCCCTCACTCTACGCCCCAGAAGTGGGGGAAAAAAAAGCACAAGCAGCCCGGTTCGCAGCCGCCCTAAAAAGCCGCAGCTGTGCGGGACGGGCCCCTCGCACCCCGGTACCGCAGCACGGACAGAGCACTCCAGGGGTGCAAAGGAGGAGCTCAGAGCTTCCCTAGGGGCTGCCCTCGACCAAGGGATGCCGCAGCCGGCGTGTGCTGCTGCTGGGTGGGCTTTATCGTGCTCAGCTGAGGGTTAGCATCAGTAAATTTTGGACCAGAGAGGGTGGGAGCGAATGGGAAAAATAATTGCCAACAGGTGGGATCGTTTAAACGGTGATTGCAGCGCTCGGCGTTCAACGGCTCGGTCTCTGGGCTGTTATGGATTGATTTTTGGTGTGTGAAACAGAAAGAAAAAAAACCTGTCTCCCTCCTTCCTTCCAATAATCTCCCCCCACTCTAAAAAAATCCCAAACAAACAAATAAACCACAAAAACAATAAAAAGAAAAACAAGCTCACGAAACCAAACCAACCAAACAAAAAGCTCCAAACTTCAGACCCCATCGGCCGTTTCTTTCGAAAATAAAAAGGTAACAAAAACCTGTAAATGTTCAATAAGTTAAAATGCGCCTATCAATACAATGGCACCAACACCAACTTTGCATTTTAAACCAGGTGCTATAGAGCACAGGGCGAAGGGGGAACCTGCCAAGTAACACCGATTTCGTTTACGTCCAAAGAGCAGGTTATTCAGCACCTTTGCCTCCCTCCGCAGGCTTTACAAGCTGCGGCCAGCTCCGAGCCACGCTCCAAACCCAAGATCAGGAGCATCCCGGCGGGGCAGAGACGGGTACCCCATTACCCCTCCTCAGCACCCCGGCCACCGGCAGGAGCGGGCGGCAGAGCCGCGCGGATGCCGGGTCAGACTTCCAAACCCAGCTCAAATTTGCCGAGGTCGCGGCCCCCAGTGCTGCGGGGTGGATTCGTGCACAACCCCTACATCCATCCCCCGTCACCCACCTCCAGGTGAGGATAGCGAACCCCGCCTGTGGCGCGGAGGGGCAGCGCAACTCCTGCCGCACCCAGGACCGTGGCGGGGCTCGGTGATGGTGCTGCCGTTCCGCCCACACCTCGGCGACGCCCCGACGGCATAAAAAAGCGGGAGCCGCCACCCACGGCCGCTGTCTGCCATGAAGCTCACCTGGGACATCAACGACCCCAAACTGCCGCAGGTACCGGGTGGGCGGGGAGGTAGCGATCGGGGAAAGTCTCCGTCCAGATCTAACCCGGAGCTGGGGAACAGCAGAACAAACCTCGCTCTAAGCAAAGCTTTGTTTTATGTCTGCTTTACTTCTCTTTTCACTTTGAGTTGTTTTGTAGTCTTTATGAAGTCACTTATAACAAAAGTGTGGATTCGATGCTCAGCTTTGCCTACCTGGATATGAACTCCTAGAACAACCAGTGGCTCCATTTGCACAATTTCCTTGTCCCTCCTCCTCCTCATTCAAGAAATGTTGAATTGCAGCTTGAATTGACTGTTTACTAGTATTACCCAAGTTATCTAATTATTTCTTTGGTTTATTGATGCAACACTTTAATGCCAATGAGCACTCCACTTTTGTCCAGTTGTGAGTTCCAAATGCATTTTTTAATTTGCAACTTTATTCATCTTAGAGTTTATTTAAGTTTACAAAGCCCATGCTGTTATGTCTTCATGAATGTCTTAATGCTGTAAATGCTGGTAGCTCCATTCTCTTTGCTGGGATTGCTCCCATATGTGGTACATACGTATGTTAAATACGTACTGCATTATAAATATTTGCAGTTTAAAATCTTCATTCATACCTCTGATAATTACATTTTCATAATGAACTCCTGAAAGATGTGAAATCCCAAAATGAAATGTTTTCTGTTTGTGCCACTATACATGTATTGGAAGTATATTTGCAATGACTAAATTTTTATCTCCTTTTTGGGAAAAGCCTTATTCAAATCATATTAGATGCACTTTAGAAAGGCCATTCCATAGCTAAAACTTCTAGATTCCTGCCTGCCGCTGCATTGTCCCACGACAAGGAGAACTTAATAGCAGTCGTGATCAGGGTGGCTTGTGTCCTATCTGAGCACACTGATCGTACACTGGTCAGTAAATTCTGGGAGTAAGGCTGATGTCTTACAGCTGGTAATTTCCCTATAAAAGGCATACGTATCAGCAGACCGTGCTACAATGGATCATGATGCAAAAGAGGAAAGGAACTTGACTTTCTCTTCAGATATGGAATCTCAGACTATCCTAGCCCTCTTAGAGAGCACTTCTGAACAAGATATTATTTCAATATATCTTTTTCTGCTGCTTTTCTCGTGATAGAAAAAGCTTTCCCCCTGGTGTAATGTGTCTTACAACTAGGCAAAAAATTAGTGATATACTAATAACGTTCTCTTGCCCTTCTCCTTGCTGCCTTGCCCTGCCGCCCCACCTGCGGCTCTGCAGGAGCCCAAGCACTTCGACGCCTTCCAGGAGTGGCCCGATGGCTATGTGCGGCTCATCTACTCGAGCGAGGAGAAGAACGCGCAGCGGCACCTCAGCGGCTGGGCCATGCGCAACACCAACAACCACAACTGCCAGATCCTCAAGAAGTCCTGCCTGGGCGTGGTGCTGTGCGCCCGGAGCTGTGCCCTGCCCGGCGGGGCCAGGCTGCAGCTCCGCCCCGCCATCTGCGACAAGGCTCGGCAGAAGCAACAAAGTGAGAGGCGCCCAGAGAGAGCTGCCGTGCCCAAGGGACCCCGTTTCCTTCATCCGGGCTTGATTTCCGAGCTGGAGTCACTCTTACTTGCGTGCAGGCTAAGGCACAATTGCAATGACTGATTAATTCCAAATTTCATCAATGTCTGCTTGCAAATATTTAAGGGGCTATGGATTTAAATCCTTTAAATTATTAGCATATACATCTAGCGGGCAGCTCTAGTTCATACCATTTAGTTATGCTTGGTAGTCTATATTGCATTTCCTTGAACAATACATGTTAATCTGAATTTTGGAAAAGTCTGATCATGTTGCTCTTGAGCTCTGTTTACTCTCAGGCAGCATCCTCGTCCTTTACCAATCTCTTCAGCAGTTTCTATCTGTTCACAGAGAAAGCCTGCCCCAACTGTAACTCTGCCCTGGAGCTGATTCCTTGCCGAGGACACAGCGGCTATCCAGTCACAAACTTCTGGAGGCTTGATGGAAAAGCAATATTTTTCCAGGTAGAAAGCAGCTGTATGTGTTTATGCACACTATATAAAAAAATACCTGTAAAGAGAGAGATTTCTTCCTCCCCCCCTTTTATATAACACAGACCATGATGAGCATGACAGAGGTCTAGTCCATGACTGAATTTCTCTTCAGTATGAACATAAGAACAAAACAATAACACTTGGCTACCTCTTTGAAAGCAGTACTTATGGGTTGGCAATATTCAATTTTAACAACAATAAAACCGATAGGTAAAATTCTCCTCTTTACAGAACACAAATATGAACAAAAAGGTTGTCTTGCATCCTGGTGCATATGACAACTGGATCTCTCTAATGTTATTTCCAAATATTTATTTGCTACTAAAATAAATAGGAAAAAAAAAAGTCCTACTTAATTCACAATGGCTGAAACATAAAAATTCTACTTCATGTGAAAGTAGTCTTTGAATTTTGAAGGATTTAAAATCCTGACAGAAAAAAGATAAGAATCTTAGCTGAAATTTGAAACTTCATCTTGATTTTTCTTTTCTAGCAACATTGGAACAAAAATGAAAGAAAAAGTTTCTGTTCTATGGGATTACATTTTCTCCTGGATCATTTTTTCCCCTGACTCACACAGCAGTGAATTCTGTTCTACAGTCAGTAAATGGAAGAAAACTGGCCATATTCCCAGATTCTCTCCTATATTATTCTTATTCAAGTGTTGCCTTACAGACATGCAAAACTGGAAGACTTGACTATCAAAAAAGTTGATAAATCCTTGCTTAGAAGTTAATTTCTGCTTGAGAAAGGACAGCGTTTTCAAAGCAATTTTTAGCTTGTATTAGGGACTGTATGTAGCACTGTTCAGACAAATGAGTAAGGAAATGTAGTGTCCATCACTTCATCACATGCCAATGTAACTTTAGTTATGTAGATCTGCATACTCACAGATGTTTCAATAGCAGAGCATCTTCAGAGGTTTTTCCAGGATATAATTTTTGGTCCTGTTCAAGAAGTTGTATTGCTTTAGGAGGATGTTTTTTGTCTTGTGGCATGAAACCTCTTTAAAGCCTACTTATACTATACATATATCTATGTTTATATAAGGCAGAACTGAGATACTGGACTGCAGAAAACCAACCTAACTATGGGGCTTTTTTGGTTTTTCCCCTTGGTTCTAATTATCTACTCCTCAACGTCACAAACTTAGGTAGCACTTTTGCTCCTTTATCCGCTCTGCATTTCTCACTGACTTCTCCCTCACTTTTTCCTTCTACCTACATCCAAATCATTATTTATTGTATTTGTTTATTTTCACAATGAATTTGTCCTTGTTTAGTTTCTCCTTCCTTTTTTCTTGTGCCAAACCACAGACCATGCTGTGAGTAGCCCTCCTGCTACTTAGAGCATTTTCTCTAATCTTAACCCTTTCTAGGTACACACCTAATTCTCAGTTAATCCTAATTTAGGCTAAAGGAGTCCATGACCATCCCCGGCCAGAAAGCAAACTGGAGGCAGAGGCAAGAAGAAGTGCAACTAAGAAGCAAATGTCCTCTTATCACCACTCCCAGAAAAAGAGATCTCTAAATTCAGAGGTAAGTCAAAGTCAGTAGTGAAATAAAAAGGTGACATAAATGAAGACTTCTTTTGTCAATTAAAAAGATGTGATAAGCACATACTGGGGATGCCAGGGCAAAACAAAGCTTTACATCATGCTATTAATATGTGCTAATAACAAAGTAACATCTGTTAATTTGGGGCTGAAACTAGCAATAGCACAAGTATTGAGACATATGTGTGTGGACAGTATTGATTCCTGTATCTTAAACATCTACTTCTCCTTGTCAGGCAGGAAGGTACCCTGAAAGCAGTGGTTACACCAATAACCTACAGAATTTTCACTGCATGGATGGCCCAGAAAGAGTTGGTATCTTCACAGACACCAATTTTTCAATTCCAGCCCAGTCTTACCCTTCACTGCAGAACACAGACCTCTACAAGGCACCTTACGACTCAGCCAGCTTCCAAGAGGACCAGCTATCGCCATACCCTAAATGCCCAAATCCAAGGATCTACATGCCCGTGCCATGCAGCTATGAGTTTGGAGTTCCTACCTTTGTAAGCTCAAGCCCTTACCCAACATTTTACAAAGATCTGCCCAGTCCTGCCATTGATGCAGACCCCCTCAGTCTGAACGGGCCTCACTACAACGCTGTGACCACCCATGACAAAGGCTTTGACAACCCTGGCAGACATTACGGACTGAAACCAGCGTGGGGGAAAAGCGGCAGCGGAGACCGGAGTGACTACGGGCAGATGGCCACAAGTGCTCCCCACGCTTACTGCAGTGGGGACTGTGCCTGCAGGTACAGCCCCAGCCCCGCTCCCGTGGCCCCGCCACTGCAGACCGTCATCACCACCACCACCAAGGTGTCCTACCAGGCCTACAAGCCACCCGCGCTGAAGTACAGTGACAACCTCTGCGACGTGAAAAACATCCAGAGCTACACCCACGTGGCAGAAAACATCTCCTCAGGTGCTGTCTATTCAGGGATGAAGATTCAGGAAGACTTTGGGATGATAAAGTCAGCATTGCTCTACCAGCATGACTCCATCCCCACAAAATCCAAACCAGCTGAGGGCATGGAGAGCTATCGGTATGGGTTCCCTCTGGGGAGCAGCTTTGCCGAGCATGAAGGCCAGGCCCTAAGGTTTGAGAGTGCTGAGTATTGACTAAATGGTGCCTAAATGACAAATACCTGCAGATGGGAGAATAGATTATTGTGCTGACTATGTGAGTGCCAAGCCAAGTGGTTTGGGATTTGAGGAGAAATAAAGAAGCAAAACACCAAGACTGCTTTTTCCCAAAGGCATCTTTTCTGGAGCTGTGTGCTGAGTGAATTATATTTTGCATCTAATTTCAAAGAAACCCCACTCAATCTCTAAAATGGCACAAGGAACTGAGCCCAAAACACACCTCGGAGAAGGTAATATGGAGGCACAGCTCCTCTGGAAGTCAGCAGCCTCCTCTGACAGCAAGTGCAATCCACTTAGAGCTACAACTCCTGCCTCAAGCTTTGAGAGAAAATGCCCCATCTGTAAGAAAGAAAAGACTAATCAGGTAATGGAAATAAATGAAGGAAGGTGGCTCTAGATTATAGTCAACGGAAGGAAATGTCAGGGAAAGAAAGAAACAACATAAATGTGAAAGCAAGACGATTTGCAGAATAATTCACCTGAATGTTTCATTCACCTGCCATGATCCTTTTGATGAATGGAAAGATCAACTAAGTTTCTCTGAAATGAGAAATGAAAAACCTGAAACCTGAGAAATGAAATTTGCTAAATTCATGTTGCTTTTTGATCCCCTGTATCAAGAGTAGAGACTACTCAGCCTTTCTGTGTAAGAAGGACAACCCAGCACAGCCACACCAGGAACTGATGCCCCGAAACACTCAGCCTGGAGGCAGGAAGGCTCAGGCAACCTCCACCAAGCCTGCTCAGCATCACATGGCTGCCAGAGTTAACTTATGTGGTCCTGAAAACCACTTACAGTGAAATTGGTGTTTGCTTAAAGGGGCCTGGAAAGCTGGTGAGGCCAATTGGTTACTGGTGCAGCATTCTATTGATCCATGAATACAACTGGTCCTGTCTAGGAATGCAACATCCCAGCTGCTTAGTACAGGTCAGTGTTGAATAAACCTTTCCTGGCTGCCTCTCTGCACTCCATCTCCATCAGGTCTCTCTCCCTCTCCCAAAGGACTTTTTTTCTCTGTAAACATAGCTCCCCATGACAGCACTGCTTTGGAAATGAAGCAACCAGCCAACAGAGAGGTTACAAAACAAAATCTCCAAACTGAGCTAATCAATAAATTGTAAAGAAATGCATTCCCAAATTCATCCCTAAAACAACTAATTCTTCTTTAATCTGGAAAGAAGAAAAACCAGAGCAGTGCAGGTTTAAAACTAAAGATATTTTGAAAGCTGCCTAGTATTGGGGAATAGAACCCTCACCCAAAATGTGTGTGCCAAGCAAGGGAGCTAAGTAGACACGGGATTGATCAGGGTAAAAAAAAAAATTCTTTAGGTACTATTGTTATTGAGTTACCAAGTATCTTTAACTTTTTGAACTCTTTTTTTTTTTACCTCTGTCTTATGTATATTTTTGCTGTGTTTTGAGAAGCAGCATACTACTGTAGTCTTTCAATAAATGTGAAATCACAGTTAAATCAAGGCACCATGTAAAGGAATGTGAGCAGCTGGTTAGTTAGAATTATATGGTTCTATGCACTGAAACTATCATTAAACTGGTAAACAAATTGTATTTTCAAAGAACAGTTAAACAGCTATTTTAAAATAGTTATTTCTGATGTAATGTATTTTCTTTCTTTTTATATTTTTATGAAAACCATGGTTTTTTAAGTGTGTTCAGTCTGAGATGTCAAACTGAGCCCCACAGGAATTTAGTTAATAGCATCCTGTTTCAGCAGTGGATTGGTCAGCATTTTAAAAATTCAAGCCAGACAAGGATGGAATTCACAAAAAGACTAAATTAATTCACCTGCAGCAAGCTTACCTTATCTTTTAGCTTTAGTGTACTTTCTGTATATCTCTCTTAGCTTTTGTTAAACTCTTAGGGTAATTCTTCTACCAAGTGTTTTAAATTACTGATAAGAAGAGATTCAGGTGAACAACATCAATTTGATAATTAGCCCACCTACTTTAAAACTTTTACTAAAGAAAAAAAAAAAAAGGTGGTTTGTGAGTTATTACCCAGAAAGACTGATGCAAAATTTTAGAGTTTATGAGTATATAACACTATGCCTGTTTACAGAACTGGGTTTTCTCAGCTGTATGCTAAATCATATCGAGGCATTTGATGTGTAGAATAATAATCAAGGCTTACAGTCCTGTAAGTTTAAAAGGGGGAAAAAGTATAAGAGGGGAATAAGGCAAAACAAAATGACTAAAAAAGCTGGAAAGATTCACTGCAGATGGGAAAATCAAGGAAAATATTCAAGCTGTAAATTGCTCTATTTTATAGTGATTTTAGAGGAGTTAGCCAACCACAAGTCAAGCACAAGTTATTAAAATACTACTAGCTATTAAAACAGACAAGCTGTGGGGGTTGCATGCTGCTTACATTACTGGTATTAAAATTGTCATTGTAGTTGTATGCTTAAATTGTTATGCTATCCAATTAAATATAGTTTTTAAAGCAGAACTTTGTACACCAGTAAAGAAAATGCAGCCAATTGTGTTTAGATGTTACTTTTAGAGTGTGGATTTATTTTATAACAAACATGACAGCTGTTTAAGCACAGTGGAAAGCTATGGTGGTGATTACCTTGCTGCATCATCTGAGAAGTACAACAAATAAAACTGCTCTAAAGGTTATTGCATTCTTTCTTCACCTTGATTCCTCTCATGTACAAGTGTCTGGGATGAGATTAGCTGTATGTTACCTTTTACAGATAAAAAAATCAGATGGAAAAAGTCTAGAGCTGTAGACAGTTTTTCTCTTCAAAATATATAAATGTAAAGGCAATGGGAGCTTCTGTATAAAGAGAAAAAAGAGAGTAAAAAAAAAAGCTGAAATTGAAAGCCTCATTGTAGGTTTATACAGCTGCAGCATTGACTTTAAAAGCATGTTCCTCAGGCAAAGCAGCATCCTGAAACAAGATGGTCCCTGAGTGAGCACCTTCTTTTCCATTAATCATCCCTTTCAAGTATGGTTTCTGGTCCTGCATTGAGCACCTGAGAGGAGCCCTTCACCAGCCTGTACCCTCTACTCTGACAGGCATTTTTGTCTAACAAAATCCAGTTGTAATGGCACAGTCACAGAGAGAGTGGAGGAGAAGATGCTTTCAAATCTCAGCCTCCTGTGACTCTGGCTTCAAATGGGTTACAAGGGCCCTACTGAGGTAAAGCACCACCTGTCCCCGTGCTGAGGATGCCCTTTGTACCAAAACAGCAGCCCCAGAATGGCAAAGGTTAAAAGCCCAAGTGTTTAATGGATGCCTCCAGAGACACAAGGCCCTGTGACAATGTTTTTCACTCCTGTACCCGCGAAATGCAAGCATGTGCCACACACCTGACAGGTGCAAATACTTGTGGGCATCACTTCATGGTCACACCTCATGGAGGGCAGACAGAGCCTGGCAAACTGTCCTGCTCCATGACCACCTGTATCCACCCAGCCCTGCTAAAGAACTCCTGTGAGAGTCTGAGCAATCTGCTTAGCCCTTGCTCCTCTCCTGGGACCAGGTTATCTCTGGGCTTTACAAATGTGCTAAATGCTGCAAACAAGGCAGGCAGGAACTTGGCTGTTTTGGGCTTATTGAGCCTGAAGTAGTTGATCTCTTAATTTGGGGGTACAAACTATCACCTCTGCCTTTGCAGAGACAAGCTTTTCCTGAGTTCCGTGAGTGGAAACCAGCAGTGTAACAGAATTGAATACGATTTGAGACTTCTTCCTTCCTGAGGATTTTCTGGGATTTCTTCCAGATTGCTGGCATTTTTCTTAGTATCTTTTGGGGGGAAAGTTGTCTAAAACAACGGAGACAGCTTTCACCAAAGCAGAGCATGTTTCCTGAGAGCCATCACTTAGCAGGATGCACAGTGCAACTCTAGGGATGCATTTAGGAAAATTCATGTCATTCCCACCCTTATCAGTAGAAGCCACATGCAGGCAAAAATGAAGGAGAACTGAGGCATTTGGTGCTGGAGTGGTTCCTCCAAAAACACAGAGTGAAAAATTCCATACCTGTTAAAATCCCTCTGCCTGAGAAATAATGAGAGTGGTACACAATGGTTATCCATGCCTGGATTACTGCCCTTAGTGTTCCAGCTGCCTGAAGATAAGTACCTGGCTGTCACTCATGAGCAAAGGGAAGGTGAACCAGGGAGTGTTTATGTAGTGATACACCTGAGATTGTGCAAAATGGAGAGTGCATTTCAGCACAGCACCTCTCCAGGCTTGCAAGAGACCTCATGAGACACAAAGATCAGTGGGATGACACAGGTGCAAGTAAGTATCACAGGGAAACATTGCTAGTTTGGCTCAACCTTATTCAAACAAACAGAAAAATGAAGTTTACACAATCCCTATAAGCTTCAACATGCATGCTGGTACTTGTGATAGTGTTTGGGAGAAGGCAGTTTCAGGTATTTGGCTGGCACTTGAGCATAGCATCAACACCTTCAAGGACCACAACCAAAGGAGGTCCTTTCAACAGAAAATTACTCACTGGGTCTGCATGTGTTGTTTTGTAAAACAAAAGCAGGTGCATAAGGATGTTCTCAGAGGTCCTTTAGCAGGGCTCACAAACATCCTAGGTCTCTGTTCCATCCTGTTGTCTTCCCTTCAGCTTCCTGGTTCATAGCAAGAGCACAGGACAGCATCTCTCTCCTGTCTTTATGACAAAATAAAGTGTTAAGTGACTGGCTTGCAGTGCTTGTACTGCAACCCCACACCATGCTGCAGCCCAGCTCAAACAGTGGCAAGTCCTGTCTACAGCTTTTCTGCCTTCATGTGTGTGAAATGTTGGGGACCATTACAAGAAATACCAATAACTGACAGACAGGAGGTCCTGGTAACAGAATTTAGACTTAAACATTTTTCTTGTGCAAAACTAATACAGGAATTATTTAAACATCAACCCCTTGCCTATGCCAGATCTCATAAGTGGCTGTAATTATACTGGAAATGCCCCAAAGGCAACCAAGAGCATTTTCACCGTGTTCAGCAACATGGACAGTGGGATTGAATGTACTCTCAGCATGGCTGATGGTGACACCGAGCTGCATGGTACAGTCGGTGTGCAGGAGGGAAGGGATGGCATCCACCAGAGGGACCTGGACAGGCTGGAGAGGTGGGACTGTGCAAACCTCGTGGAGTTCAACAAGGCCAAGTGCAAGGTCTCACATGTGGGTTGCAAGGACAAACACAGGCTGGGGGGATATGGCTTGAGAGCAGCCCTGAGGAGAAGGACTTGGGAGTGTTGATTGCTCAGCAAGACCCAGCAGTGTGTGCCTGCAGCCCAGAAAGACAAATGTATCCTGGGCTGCATCCAAAGCAGTGTGGCCAGCAGGCTGGGAGAGGTGACTCTGCCCCTCTGCTCTGATGACAACCCACCTGCAGGGCTGCATCCAGCTCTGGGCCCCCAACATAAGAAGGACATGGAACTGTTGGAGCAAGTCCAGAGGAGGCTACAAAAATGCTCAGAGGGCTGTAGTACCTCTCCTGTGAAGACAGGCTGAGAGAGCTGGGGTTGTTCAGCCTGGAGAGAAAAGGGTTCTGGGCTGACCTTGTAGCATCTTTCCAGTACCTAATGGGGGCCTGCAAGAGAGCTGGAGAAGGACTTTTTACATGGACATGTAGGGGGGATAAGACAAAGGGGAATGGCTGTACACTGAGACAGGGTGGGTTTAGATTAGGTATTAGGCAGAAATTCTTTACTGTGAGGGTGGTGAGGCACTAGAACAAGTTGCCTAGTAAAGCTATGGATGCCCTGGAAGTGCTCAAGGCCAGGTTTGGATTAGGCTTGAGACCTCTGGTGTAGCAGAAGGTATCCCTGACCATGGCAGGGAGGTTGGAACTAGATGATTTTTGAGGTTCATTCCAGCCCAAACCATTCTATAATCTCATGAAACTGAGTGGCAGCACCACAGGAAGAGGACAGAGCCCATTCCTGGGAAAGGACAGTCATGGGACAGGGCTAAACTGTTGAGAGAGGAAAGGACACAAGGCCAGGAAGGGGACATCACAGGGTAACTGCTGCATCATTTCCACTGACAGCGGAGAGGTGTTTTCACATATTTAAGGTAGGGACATATCCATGCAGTAGTAATCAAACATATTCTTAGAGGTTAATGCATGCTTAAATTCTTTGCTACGTCCAGTCAGCTCCTGCTGAATCTCTGCCTGAATTCTGCTGTGTGGGTTATGGTTCTTTATGTTTCTTCCTTCTCATGTCCAAGTCTCACCTTTGAACTTCATTTTACCTGGCAGTCACCTCTGATGTTTTATTTCAGTAAAGGAAACATGCATATTTTGTTTCAGAAAATATAATGTTGTTTTCTTGTACTTCCATTTCAGCAAGCTATGTGCAAGCGGTCAAATCCTTTGAATTCCAGAAAACCAATTCCCATAGTCCCATGTTCCACCCAGTTGACTTGAGGTAGAATCAATTAATCTGTCAACAGTTCTTAAATCATCACAAAGTTACCATGCCAATTAATGAAGAGGAGGGAGGGGAAAGAAAAAAAAGGTAAAAAGAAGACAGATTCCCATTTTTGCTCAGCAAGCCTGAGCTGCCAGCATGGCGAAGCAGATAGGAATTTGAATTTCTAAAACAATTTTCTGCCTTTCCATCCATGGTGCTTCTAGTAGTTATTGTGTTGAAATGATATCTTCCTTTTCTTGCCCATCACTCTCAAGGAAGTGATTCTCATAGGAAGCTCAAGTGAATGTTGAGAATTGAAGCTTAAAATGAGACTTCCCTTCCAAAAGTGCCTCTGGATCAGACACTAAATATGCCATTTTTATTAACTGTGCCTTCTGTACACCCAAGAGAAATGTAAGAATACAAAGGATCAAGGAGAAAGTTCATTATTATTTTTGTAATAGAAATACATATATTTTAGAATGTATAGAGCACTCAGAGTTTCTCCCTTGCATTAGTATTAGCAACTTGCATTTTAATAAATTGCTTACAATAAATACTTTAAAAAAAATGCTAGGGGGGAAAATCCCTCGGGCTTCACTACAGCTGTGAGTAATACAGGTGGAAATTTCTGTACAAATCCTAAGTACACTGTGGCTTAGCTGGTAGCTTTATTTCTAAGATCATAGAATGGTGTGGATTGGCAGGGGACCTTGAAGATCGTCCAGTTCCAACCCCCTTGCCATGGGCAGGGACACCTTCCACTAGACCAGGATGCTCAGAGTCCCATTCAGCCTGGCTTTGAACACCTCCAGGGATGGGGCATCCACAACTTCCCTGGGCAACCTACCCAGTGCCTAACCAGCATCACAGAAAAGATTTTTTCCCCCTATTATCTAATCTCTTTCCATTTGAAGCCATTTCCCTTTTTCCATGCTCTTGTAAATAGACTCTACCCATCTCTCATGAAAGTTCCCTTTAGGTAGTGGAAGGCTGCTCTAAGGTCAGCCTGGAGCCTTCTCTTTTCCAGGCTGACAGCTCCAGCTCTCCCAGCCTGGGTTCACAGGAGACGTGCTCCAGCCCTCTGAGCATCACAGAGCATCCAGCCCCGCACTCGCTCCAGCAGCTCCCTGGCCTTCCTGAGCTGGGACCCCAGAGCTGGAAGCAGCACTGCAGCTGGGGTCTCACCAGAGCACCAAATACATATCCTAT